TATCAGTCCAGCTTGGAGAGGCTGAGCTACGAAACTACTTCAACAACAAAGAGGGTTACCTGACCTTAGAGTGGGCCGGCTGAAGCCTTAAAATATCAGTCTAGCTTGGAGAGGCTGAGCTACGAAACTACTTCAACAACACAGAGGGTTATCTGACCTTAGAGTGGGCTGGCTGAAGCCCTAAATATCAGTCCAGCCTGGAGAGGCTGAGCTACGAAAAATACTCCCTCTTCAACAAGCTACAAATAAAGGAACACATTATCACAAGAGAGACAATGGAGCTTCTACTCAAAGATTGAAGATCAGGTGTATAGTTTGTCAGCCTTGTTACCCAATAGAGTACGCAACTGCTCTAAAGGGTGAGGATATGAGCAAATACACCTATCCAAGGGAAACAATGCAGAAGCGCCAACACCAAAGAGACGAAGAGAAGGCCCAGACGAAATTTCCATGTCTTTACTTGCCTTTGGAAAAGCAACACATAGCTATTCCAAAGGACAAGTAAAGAGGGGCAGTTGTAGACACCCAATTTCGTCTGAACCAACAATAGCAATGAAATGCACGTCTATCATCAAAGAAATGGAGCTCCCAAGCATGGAAATAACAGGACACGACATCAGAAGGCCAAAAAGCCCAACAAGCTGGTTTTAGTAGCCTCTCAAAATTGGAACGGGCCGTTCCAAGTTCCTAAAAGGGCCTAAAACCCTAGTTTGGAACAGGCCGTTCCTAAAATGGAACGGGTCATTCCTAAAATGGAATGGGCCGTTCCTAAACTGGAACAAGCCGTTCCAAGCTACTAAAAAGGGGGTTAAAACCTTAACTGGAATGGGCCGTTCCTAAACTGGAACGGGACGCTCCAAGTTATTAAAATGGTCTACAAACTCTTGTTTGGAACGACCGTTCCAGTCTAGGAAATTATGTGTTAATCTCACTTCTGGAACGGACCGTTCTAGTTTCAGAATGGGTCGTTCCAATCACAAAATTAACACACAACATTTGGATCCAGAACGGGCCGTTCCGATTTTGGAACAGACTGTTCTAGCCACTTTCTGATGCCTATAAATAGACGGCTTGAGCACAGTTCTCAAGGCCACAAAATTTCGTCCAGAACACCTTAGAGCTTGAAATTTCTCTCTCTCTCCCTCCTATTGTATTTCTTGAGATTTGTGAGGCATTTGTGTAGTGTGAAAGGTTGCCACAAAACACCTAGAATTTCCATATTGGAAGATCTAACAAAGCTTTCTACAAGGTATTTCAATTGATCTTCTTCTCTCTCTTTTATTTCTTATCTTTGATAAGTATTGTTATAATAAAAACAATCATGTAGATATTTTAGAATCAATTGTTTAATTTAAATTTCAAGCATGTAAATAGTCACCAATAAAAGAGGATTTAATATTTATATTATTATTGTTTATAATGTTAACTTCGTCATAGGGTAACGATTAAGGGCATTGTAGGGGTGCTTAATACCTTCCCTACACGTAACCGACCCCGAACCCAATTCTGGTTATCAAGGCCAT